CTCCCTCCATTAACGATTTCTTTCATTTTTGTTCAAAAAGCTTTTACAATTTCTCTCTCAAGTTTTCTTATTATTCTCTCAAAATCCCTACGAAATCCTTAATGCTTCAAATTTTCCTTCCCTTACGATGAAGAAGAAAGGAACTCCGAGGAATAGCCCTAAAAAAGCTACTGATGGTGATATTCTGTCACGATGGCACCTAACTCATCCCATTAGGTAAGCCAACTACCAACTATACAATTTCAATAATAATTATTAAAGCAATTTAAGTGAATAAAGGTCTAAATCTTGTACAATTCCTAAGAACTGGTAGTACAAATCATGAGCTTCTAAGAATAGAGTATACAAAGCGAAAATGAAATAAATACATAGTCTGTTTGAATAATACATAAACAGAGCTTTTATATATCTAAAGCTACCCTGAACAAGAGGCAGCTACAATAGGAACGCAGGTACATCTTCAAATCCCGCTACCATCGAGCACAACAACAACATTAGCCAATATCTGCACGCAATGTGCAGAAGTGTAGTATCAGTACAACCGACCCCGTGTACTGAGTAAGTAACAAACCTAACCATAGGTTGAAAGTAGTGACGAGCTTCTACCAAGATCGGGTCCATAACCAATAGTCCACAACAGTCCATAATAAGATAAAGTAAATAATACCAAATATAACTCAGAGATAAAATGCTCATCCAAATCATGATTTCAAAAATAATAGTTCTTCCTTTCAAATACATCAGTGAAAACCCAAATCGTTTGCCGGAGTTACCAAAAATATGAATAGTTTGAAAACAATAAATTTTTCCCAAAATCTTGTCAATAATAAATAAGATGTTTCATTTTTCTTCCGGATAACCCGCGTAAAAATAAATACATCACTATGCCCATCTGTCAAAAATGTGTGAAAAATCATGAGCGATGTGATGCAGTACAGCACGAGAAAATACATCTTTATGCTTGTATATCATGCGTGCATGCCAATGCGATGCAACTCAATGATAAAATCATAAACAGCCCCTCGAACAGAACATCACTCATATACAGCCCCTCGGGCAAACCTCACAGACACTCATGCCACTCGGGCATACCTCACAATCACTCTTGCCACTCGGGCATACCTCGCAATCAGTCATGCCTCCCAGTCACTCAGCACTCGGCACTCGCACTCAGTAGGTACCTGCGCTCACTGGGGGTGTGTACAGACTCCGGAGGGGCTCCTTCAGCCCAAGCGCTATAATCTGCACGGACAACTCATGTGATGCACAGACAACTCACATGCTATAATAATAAAGTATGTTGCAGGCGGGTAGCCCCGATCTACACTCATCCTCACAATCAGGCCCTCGGCCGATATCAAACATGTTGCGGCGTGCAGCCCGATCCCATAAATATTCTCACAAATCAGGCCCTCGGCCTCACTCAGTCATCAATCTCTCCAGTCTCTCGGGCTCACAATGTCATGAAAAATAACCCAAAATAATGATATGATGTATCAATAAATAAACAGAGACTGAGATATGATATGCAATGAAATGAATATGACTGAATATGAATTTTCAATTTAACATAATAATTCACAGCAATATGACCTCTGTAGGTCCCAATAATACTGGCACTTAGCCTCAACATGATTTTTAATATGCTTTTCAGCTCAATTTCTTTAACATATAAAAACGCATGGAAAATGCCAAGATTATTTAACTATAAAATTTCTACAGAAATAATTATGTCATAATTTTTACAATGCACACCCATACGCCCATCACCTAGCATGTGCGTCACCTCTCAACAATTCACAAAATACATATATTCAGGGTTCATACCCTCAACTCTAAGATTAGAAGAGTTACTTACCTCGAACAAGCCGAATCCAATGTCGAGTAAGCTAAACAATGCTCCAGAAATCCCATTATGAGCGTATCAACTCCCGAACGGCTCGAATCTAGTAACAATTAATTTGATTCAGTCCACACAATTTATAGGAATTAATTCCATATCAAAATGCTAATATTTTCCACAAAAATTCGAAACTATGCCCCAAAAATCACCCGTGGGGCCCATGTCTCGAAATCCGACGAAACTCATAATATATAACAATCCATCCAATTATAAGTTTAACCATACTAATTTCACTCAAATCCGACTCCAAATCGGTATTCAAACTTGAAAAATTCGTTCTGTGACACTATAGAAATTTTCTTCTATTTCTCTGGAAGATTCAATAATCTTACACCAAAAATGAAGATTAATTCATGGAATATAATCAC